TGTATAGGATTACAAAGTTACTGATGCAGTTTGTTGTATATCTCGAAAACAGGATTGAAATTGCGTGATGTTTGAATTTTTCCTTGGGTTATAGAGTAAACACAAATTGTGTTCAAAATTTGAAGCTTCTATGTCTGCTAGAAGTACCTTAGAATTTTGATGATCGGTGAGTGAGTGAGTGACGATATTAACGAATTTTGATCTGCAACAGTTCATAAACTACTGGTTCAAATTGAATGTAATTTGGAAATGTACCTAGTTTTATTATGTTCTCTTAGTCACTCAAAATTCAAGCTTCTAGCTTTATCCATAACGAAGTTATGGGGGGGTGGAAAATGCTCTGAATCCCTTCGAGAAAAGGATGGTACTGCCGTGCCCTTTTTTGCTCGACTTGTTTGCTCGACTTGGCGGGGGCACTGCCGTGCCCCCCGATAATAACACTTAGATTAATTAATTATATATATTTTTTTCAAAAATAATGACTAATACATCAAAATAATTTTAATACATTCAGTATTCACATCCTTGACACAATAATTACCACAAAATGGAAAAAAAATAATGTTATATATTATATACACTTCATGAGAATCTGTGGAGCATCGCCATTGACATGTAATTTAAAAAAAAAAGAAAAAAAAGAGGTATTTGATATTGTTACTCCATCGTCGAATTTATTTGAGGCGGTGACTAAGTACATATCTCAATATTAAGTTTGAATTCTTCGTTAGTCCTTTAGTTATTCTAATTTCATACAAGTATAAGGTAGGTATTTTTAAATTATTTAGCTTAGAAGCAACTAGCGCTCGGTTTCGTCCCTAGGTAGATTTTAACGCTTAATAAGAATATAATACGAATGTATTATACATATAAATCTTTGCTCTTGAATCACTCTATCTATTAAAAAAAACTGCATCAAAATCCGTTGCGTAGTTTTAAAGATCTGAGCATACATAGGGACAGACAGACAGCGGGAAACGACTTTGTTTTATACTATGTAGTGTTGGTACCTAATGGAGTTCTGAGTTAAGTTTAAAGTATTTATAAAGAAGTATTTTTTTTAATAACTAATGAATCCTATAATCTATACATATGTATAATAAAATTGTAACTAAGTAGAATCTGTACATTAAATATTTTTTGGAAAATCTAATTGAAATAGACATTATTATCGATATAGAGTCCGAATCTATAGTTTTTAGAATTTTTGTCTGTCTGTTACCGCATCACGACAAAACCACTGGACAGATTTTGATGAAGTTTGGTATGATGATAGCTGATTATCCGGGTCAACATATAGGATACTTTTTACCCGCGGGAAAATATCTCATTTCTGAGAAAAAATACAAAAACTGCATTGTAAGAGTATAGTAATATGTAAAACCTAAGAATTCGGTTTTTGGTCATCTGAACGCGAGCGGAGCCGCGGGCGATGCTAGTAAGATATATAGTGCAATTTCTAGGAACTAAACCGAACATTCCATGCGAGATGAAAATACATAAATTATATGAATTCTTCAAAGTAGGTTATTACCCGACTGCTATGGCTTCAAAAGACGTAACATATCTTTATAGTCAGTAAATTTGCTGTGATAAAAATTTACAAGACCATCAAAAGTGTTTTAGAATCTTAGAAATTTCAAGAATTAGATACATATATGTTTTGTTAATCATAATAATACTTTCCTTTCCTAGTCTCTCCCGTGACCATGATTGCTGTAAAGCATTCGAAACGACGGGAACCAAAAATCAAAATAAATCCGCGAAAACATCCCTTAAAAAGATAGTTTTATTTAAAACCCTGGCTTCGATTAGGTTTGTCGCTAGGTACGTATTGACGCTTACTATGGAATAGATTTTTTTCATTTTTTTTTGTGATTTTTCCGTTGTTTTAATTGTTATTCTGCTATTCGAGGTGAAGACAAATCCAAAAAAAATAGATCATAAAAATCGGTCCAGCCTTTTTAGAGTTATAAGTGGTTGTAACAAACTGACTTTGTTTTATATATACATATTACAAATATAGATTTTATTTAAAAACTTCATCATTTTATGTGCTACGGACGACGAGTGTACGCCAGCGCGCGATGGCTGAATCCAGCTTAAATCGCGTCAGTTTATTGTCGACACGCGCGCGTATACTTTTGCGTGCTCTGGAGTTAAGTCACGCCCCTTTATTGCAATATTCAATAAGATGTTAGCCGCACAGTAGCATATCTAATAAGATATAATGTTAATTAGATATAAAACCACGAGATTTTGTTTTCCTCGCCATTCATTGGCTACCCATATAAATAAAGGAAGAATCAAGCAATTGGGAGTTCCATTTAGAAATCTTAAATAATAAATACAGTCTAACACATAATAAATCATTGCATTTATAATAAAAAAAGCTATTTTATTTTCTAATATAGAGAAAACCGAGACAAACAAAATATGCATATTTTAAATAAAACTATCTTTTCGGATTTTGTCGCGGATTTATTTGTATTTTTATTTTTGTTTCCCGACGTTCGAATGCTTTACAGCATCCATGGTCACGGGAGAGACTGAGGTGTTACATGTCTTAAAGATATAGTTGTTACAGACAGCCTACCCACAATTAACAAAATGAAAATTGCACCAATTACATTACAATATTTTAACTTTAAATATTTTTATAATTTTAATTATAATTGAATATGGAAAATTATTTATTTAATTTTTGCTATTATTTTTATAATTATTACAATTTTAAAATATTAATTAGCAATCTATATTTAGTGTTGCCATTATTATATTTATAACCATAAGAAAAATATAAAATATAGTATTAATTATTTAAGCCACAATTGATCTATGTGTAATTTGAAAAAGTTAAGATTAATTAAAAAAATAATAATTTTAATTTAAATTTGCTATTATTTAAAAACAAATTATTAAGCAACACATTACTACATACATTTACAAATGAAAAAGTGAAAAAATATTATTAATCAGAAATGCTATCATTTTGATCTACACAGTAAGAACTTACTACATCTACCTGTCTGTTATGTTTAGATTTATTATTAGATTTTATTATATTAATAACAGGATCCCATGACGATGGTAGTACCCAGCCATCTTCCCTATTGAAATTAGGATGTTTTTTTAATTTCTATGGCTTCTCGAATCATTCTAGGGCGATATCGGTTTTCTTTCGCCAGGATTTGAGGCCTATCGAAGCGAATATAATGGCTTGGGCGGTCCTGACTGTGTTTGCAGACAGCAGATGTTGTATTGCGACGGTAATTAATCTTAACTTTTTCAAATTACACATAGATCAATTGTGGCTTAAATAATTAATACTATATTTTATATTTTTCTTATGGTTATAAATATAATAATGGCAACACTAAATATAGATTGCTAATTAATATTTTAAAATTGTAATAATTATAAAAATAATAGCAAAAATTAAATAAATAATTTTCCATATTCAATTATAATTAAAATTATAAAAATATTTAAAGTTAAAATATTGTAATGTAATTGGTGCAATTTTCATTTTGTTAATTGTGGGTAGGCTGTCTGTAACAACTATATCTTTAAGACATGTAACACCTCAGTCTCTCCCGTGACCATGGATGCTGTAAAGCATTCGAAACGTCGGGAAACAAAAATAAAAAAAATAAAAAATAAAAATACAAATAAATCCGCGACAAAATCCGAAAAGATAGTTTTATTTAAAATGTCAAATATTCGCGTAAATCTAAGAAAGTATTAAAATATGCATATTATGAACAAGGGACATATTTTTACTTGTTAATACACAGACACACATGCCAAGAAATTAAAAACCAATAATATATAACAGGGTCAACGGCTGTATACCAATCAGTTAATGAAATAATAAATAAAACTATAACATGCATTCATTGACCTATTGATTGATGGCAATAGAAAAGATAAAAATTAATCTGTTTAATTTTTTTCTACAGTGTCATATTTGTTTTTCTTTTTAATGATTATGTTAGGCAGTGGTAACCTAGTGGTAGGGCACTTGTTGGGAAACCGAGTGTCGTGAAGTGGGTTCAAATCCCGGATCTCATACTTCTAATATTTTTCATGTACAATCATTTCCAACATGATTTACAATTGTCTTATGGTGAAGGAAAACATCATGAGGAAATCTGCATGTCTGAAAGAACCTAGCAAGTTTTCGAAAGACATGTGAAATCCACCATGCGGGTGCATTTAGCCAGCATAGTGTACTGGGCCTGATCCCCCTCATATCGAAGGGAGGCCCAGCAGTGGGGCATTAAAAAGGGCTGAATAATATTGGAAAAAAAACACTAATTGATATAATTAAAACAGCTATTAGTTAGTGTAATCTAGTTCTAGTATCTGAATCTATAGTACATTCAGTCTATGTCAAACAATTAAGTTATTTTGGTGTGCATGAACAATGTTATTTCTTTTTTCAATTATACCTACATAGATGGAAAAAAAATATCTAAAAACCTTTATCTTTCAAAACAATTATGTGAAAACACAAACATGCTCGGTTAATTTATTCAAATATAACCCACAATGAGGTATCAACTAATAATAATTACTAAAAAAATGTTTACACATATACAACAGACATAATTTTTATATATAAATGATACAGAATTAAGTAAATTTTATAATGAGAAGTCCAAAAATTCAATTATGAACAATGTCATGTGTTATTTATTAACAACAAAATTTCTAAAACTAATAATTAATAAGTAAAAGCTATTAAATAATAATACAATAAAAAAATGAATAACATTTAGTTGTTACCTCAATGCAGAATAGTAGTAAGATGTTACATACAGCTTTACTATGCAATTTTAATAAAACAATTGAATATAAATATTAAATGTATACATTAAAGATATTTTTATCCATATAAACTATTGCATGGTAAGACTTGAATGAAAAATAAAAATAAAATCAACAAAAACCAAACAAACATACAGACAACATAGAGACAGCGACTAGCTGCTCACATTCTGTCCACAAAGAAACCAGCCATCGGAGCACACTCCAAATACTCTTCTCATTCTTGCTTTAAAAGTAACTTCTGTTGCATTCGCATTATTTTTGTATATATGTATTTCTTAGAGTCACTTTGATAATTAGTTATGTTTATAATTTTTTTTTGCACTGGCTTAAACTTAGATTTTTTGCACTTTATTTTAATAAAAAATAACTGTTATTTATTAAAGCTTTTAAAACACACAATGGAAGATATCAATAACAGAACACAATTTTGTAATTTCTGGTATCGATTTACAATTTGGCACTGAACGTTTGCACTTTAAACGAAGTATTGCATATCACGCTTCGGTTAACGATTGCAGCTGAGGAAGAAGTTAAAAAAGACCACAACATTTCGACACTAAAAACAATATTTACAGAACCCGGCTTTAATATAAATAATCACGTTCACACCAGACTTTTAAACGCTTTTGTTTCGTGTTAGACAGTCGTTTTTTTTCGAGTTTTAATGGAAATGGCGAATTAATTAATTGAAATAAAAAGCTTTTCCTCAGAAATTAACGCAAATCGCAACTGAGGGACATAATTCGATTTGACAGCGCGCCCCTCCGCCCCGCGACTGGCCGTAAGCGGTCGATTGTGGTGTTGCAAGCGTAGAAATTTTCCCATATAACTCGGGAAATATTAGGCGGAAAAATATAAAAATACTACAGATATACATATGATAATAATTATTATATACTAATCTTAAATAAATATACATTAAATTGTATTTTTTTAAATTAATTTATACACAAAAGACAAGAAAAAATAACCTGTTTGTTATTTACGGGTATCGAACAAGGAAGCAATTATTAAAAAATAAATAAAATCTTAAATAGATCTTAATACATATACATTTAAAAAGGAATGTAACAAAGATTAAACGATAAAATATATTTTTTTGTAAAATATTTGATTAAGAGTGACAAAGAAAACATGTTGTAATTTATTTTTATTTGTGTTAGATGATTAGGCGCACCTTACGTAATAACGGACTTAACGGCTTTCAATAGAGAAATTTGAATGCATTACATGCGTATATTTTGTTTAAAACGTTGTTATACATCATAAATATATATAATGAGATTTTTATCACGACGATTTTCATTACGATCGATCATTAGATCCCATATAAACTAACCTATATTGTATAGTTCCTAAAAATCAACATCAAAGCCGCAACTGTTGTTTCAAAAGCTCCTAAAAAGATATAGATGAAAAAAAAAACAAATACCATAAGTCACTTCCATAAAAAAATACAAACATAACCTACAAAAGTTGCATACGCATAGGATGCAAAGCGTAAAGACTAAAGACAAGACGGGAAGTGAAGCAATTAAAAAAACCTGTTTGATATCCGTCGACGTTGAAAGCGAATAACGACGAATCGATTCGCGTTTATCCACTCGTTACGCACCGTTTTATAATTGATAGGTTAATCATATTCGAAGACATTTACATTTAGTAATTTTAGTAATTATCGATTTTATTATTTAATTAAATAACCTACTAATATTATGTAATTATGTATTTCTTATTTAGGTATAAAACATTACGATGTTTTGTACCGCATTAGTTTGTTAATATTAAAAAAAAATACATATTTAAATATTGTTATATGTACATTCGAAAATCATATCTTACTTAAATACGTATTTTATATACACATTTTTTGTACATTTTATAGTATTACATAATTTTATTATATGAGATTAAATTCTAGGGCAAATCTATTCAATTGATGTTTCAATTTTTACTGCCCGCAGTATAAGCAATGAACTTATTATTAGTCAGACATCTTATTAACATGAATCTTTTATCTAAATGAAGAAGATACTAGGATTTAATCTTTTAGCACCCATATGACACAGATTTGCGAGCTCTTGAGTTTTCTCTTAAATATGCTAGAAATAAAATATGATGGCGTACTCGCATAAAACTTATATATATCATAAAATATGTTTCTTAAAAGTTTATATATTTTACTCATGTACTAATACTTAAATATGCAATATATAATATATAAATATGCAACGTAATTCAACTAAAAGTAAAGGAAAACTCAATAAAATTAATACCGACAACGTTTTAGAGCCGAGAGTGCTTGAAACGTAACTATTTTTATCCGGTGTAGCTAAAACATTCGGAATGTGTCACAATAAATTTTATATGATATACTTATCTATAATTAAACACATAAAAAAAAATACGCGATTTTTTGTTTTAAATCATCTTAGTACTTGTTTAATGTATTCAAAAAGTTTAGATGGTGGGTAACATTATTTATTCAGAGAGTGTCTCGTTGGTTTTTGCCAGCATTCAAAAGATCTGCATTTGTGGACGCAGGTGCCTTCCCGTAGCTTAGGAGCGAAGAAACTGATATCTATACATATATTAAAATTGTAACTAAGCCGAAACTGTACATTAAATATATTTTTTGAAAATCTTATTGAAATAAACATTATTATCGATACAGAGGCCAAATCTATAGCTTTTAGAATTTTTGTCTGTCTTTTACCGCACCACAGAAAAACCACTGGAGGGATTTTGACGAAATTTGGTATAATGATAGCTGGTATAAAAAGCCGCAATAAAAAGTATCCTATATATACCCGGGTAGGGTATATATAGGATACTTTTTATTGTGGGAAAATATCTAATTTCCGAGAAAAAATGCAAAAACTGCAATGTAAGAGTATACTAACTGTAAAACCTAAGAATTTGGTTTTTGGACATCTGAACGCGGGCGGAGCCGCGGGCAATGCTAGTTTAGTATAAATGATAGAAGGATGTAAGGAACTTTTTAATATATATAGAAAAAAAAAATTCAACGTTTAAGCTCTGCAATTATAACGTACACACTAAAAATACATACGATTTTTTTATAGATATAAGAACTATCATAATAAAATTCGAAATCGTCTGTTGAACCAATAGTATATTCCAATAGTATCTTAGCAAAGGAAATGGAAAGAAATCTGTCTAATTATATTATGTGATATATAATAAGTAAATAAAAGTGATACCGCGGACAATAGCTAATAAAAAACAAAATAATTAACCGACCATATTGCAAGCATATGGCGTCGCATCTGACGTAATGTCAGTGGGAAGATGGAGCGTTCCGGGCTATTAGGATTCACACCCTAAGGTCAGATGTTTTAGCGTAAAGGACATCTTAATAAAATGAAGTAGTCGCGAATTCTTTTGCTAATTCAATTAAAAAAAGATATAAACGAAACACTTTCTGTTCACTTTGATTAATTTTAATTGTTACACCGAATAAACTATTTTTGGGAGAAAAATAACTAAGTGGCCGATTTTAAAAAAACGTTGCAAAATCAAAAGAAGCAAATCTGGTGAGAGATTTTTTGTGTATGTTACGTAAAATCTTTGAGCCAATTTCAAGATTCTTTGAAGATTACCATTTACCTCTATATTATGGATGTTACATTTAAATAAAAAACTTAAGTACATACTAGTTAAAAATAAAAATCTAAAACTCCAACTCCATAATATTTTGGTAATGTACTCGTATCGTGGAGCTAAATAAAATCATACTGTCAAGAAATCTCAGCATTTTCAATAATAAATTACACGCCACATAAATCGACGTTATAAATCCTTTACATAAATACAATTAAGATTATAATAGACAAGTCAATTAGCACAAACATTCAAATTGGTTACTCGCAGTAAATTATTATACATATAAAACACGGGCCTAAATCTTCCAACAGTGCGATTATAACGTCGTCACAATCTTAATAAAGTGGTTTAAATGACTCATTTTGTAAGTATTGCCAGTTAAAAATTTACAATTTTCCTATATTTTTAATCCTTTTTTAGATCAATATTGATTTGTTAAAATTGATTGATTAAAAAAAAACGTTTTTTATAATAAATATTTAAAGAAATTATTTATGCTCCACAATGTTTAATATTTTTTCCAAAGAAAGAAAAAAGTTGCAAGCGGTTGAATGTTTTTGGCACAATCCAATCGTTTGACAAATGTCTAAATACTCGGTTGAGTTTTTAATGTTTTATATAACGTCGAATAGGTTACTCATTCATAATGTTATAAGAGTTAAAAAAAACAACATTTGCATTAGTTTTGCGGTGACTTTTTTATATTTAAAAATTTCTTCGTTTTTTATTATATAGTTGTATAAAAGTCCATACTCAAACTAGTTAAGTTCTCTCAGACATCCACTTTTTTGATGTCTCCTTTCACGCTAAGTCATGTAGAAAGAAGATAATTCGCACATGCGAAAATCATAGTTGCGCGACACGGTTTGGACCCCTTTTCTCTTGGTTTTTCAAGCGAGCGTGTTACCACTGGGTCACAAATCGTGTGTTTCGTAACGAGATTATCTTATCTATAATATAAAAATGAATCGCTGAATGTGTTGGTAAGCGCAAATCTCGAGAGCAGCTGAACCGATTTCGCTAATTCTTTTTTTAGAATATTCCTTGAAGTACGAGGATGGTTCTTACGGAGAGAAAAATTTAAAAAATTGCCTGAAAAAGTCTAAAAACAACACTTTTTTATACTCCCATACAAAAGATTCGTAATAATACTTAAAAGTCAATTTGAATTTTAATACCATACCATAAAGTTTAAGTGTTAGCGGAGAGGTTCCGGGAAGGCAAAACAATTGAGTGACGTTAGTATCGTATAAATATTAATGTCAATATTTGTCAATATTATTAACAAAAAAAAAAATTATATGGCTAACGCTGGCTAATTACTATTTATATCTATTTAAAACGTACCTCGCGACGAACCCGAGCGAAGCGAGGGTGAGCCGCTAGTATTTTATATAAATAAAAATGGGTGTTCGTATGTCTGTCCTCTACGCGTTCCTAAACCATTGATTCGATTGTGATGAAACTCTGGTGGGTTATTCTGTATACACCTGCAAAGGCTCCTGGCACAAAAAAAGATTTTTTCTTTGGACGTTTGCCTTTTAAGCATTTCTAAAAACTCGCATCCGATCGAAGCGAGTGTAAATCAACA